CGGTGGCCGCCAGCAGCAGCAGCGCCGGCAAGGCGGACAGGCGTGGCTTCGGCGCGGCGGCAGAGGACGGCGGATGCGCAGTGCCGGCGGTAGAGGTGGTGCGCATGGAGCTGGACGCGGAAGGTGGCTTGGAGGAAACCGTGGCGCGACGCATGGCTTGGAGGCGAAGGGAGGAGCACGGGAGTAAGGAAGCCCGTATCGCGCCCTACGTTTTCGTGGAGGCTTGAAAACAGCAATGCTTGGCTTACTGTGTTTGTTTTTAAAAAAAACTGTAAGCATCGCTTCCCGGACACTTCCAAGGGCCGAAACACTGCGGTGGGGCAATTGGCGTCACGCTGCAGGCGCGTGACCGCTAAAGGGGGGGCACTCAAAGATGAGACATTAGAGGGTTTACGCAAGCACATTTCTGTAACATATGACTAACATACTGTATGACTAAAAACATTACAGTTAGTCATATTTCACGAACAGATGTATGGATCTCTGCGCAAGGGAAACTCTAAAGAGAAACCTCTGAAAAACATAAAGATTTCGAAATGTTGCCGTCGTCGGCGAAAAACATAAAAACTTCAGAAAAACATTTTGCCGTCGTCAGCACTCCTACTTGCCACGCTTCCTCCCTCAACCCTCCTCACTCTCTATCTCACTTTCCGGCACCCCGCACAGCTTGTCGCTCTCCCACCGTCCGGCACCCTGCACAGCCTTTCGCTCTCCCACCGACACGCCTTGGCCGTGGCGACCTTTCGCCTTCCACTGTTCTGCCTCTATTCGCGAGTCCCCCACGGATCTACCGTCACACAACGGCTGAGATTGAGCTCACGCTGAAGAGGGGACTCCGACGACTACTGTAGTAGCTGCAGTGACATCAGCAAGTCACACGCTGCTCTATGTCAGGAGGCTGTGTTCGGGAAATTCGTGTCAGTAAAGGCTCGTGAAGCCTTTATTTCGTACGTAGACTACAAAGGGAAGGTGGAGGGGCGCAATAAGTTCAGCATTCTAGAGACTCTGATGGAAGTCTCCAAAGACTTCTCGAGGCGCAGGGAAAAGTTACGGAGAGGAAATAAAAGCAGGGTCGGTGGGAGTCACTATGCTGCGGTCGAGGATGAGATTGGACGACCGAGCACACCGGGTCGCACGCATGAATGGATGGAAGGGGAAGTTTGGCCTGAGCCGGACTACGTAGTGGAAGTATTGTTTGCGATGTGGAGAGTCAAGCTGAGTGTTCCAACCACGACAATGAATACCACTTCACGTTCGAGTTGTAGACTGAGCGGCTTTCAGAGGAAAGCTCCGGGAAAGGAGAGGAACTGAGAAAGATTGCAGCAAAGATGAGTGCTCGGCGTAAGGAGCGAATTGAGAGCCGTGTCTACGACCTCCTTTTGATGGCCGCGCAATACTTAGAGGATGAAGAAGATAAGGAACTACAAAAAGAAAGTTTAGAGCTGGCCATACGAACGGGACGACGAACAAGGAACCGAAGAGGGATAATAAGATCAAGGCATGCTGAGAAGAAAAAACCAGAACTGGCAAACTGTCCAAGTCCCAGTTGCGTGAACGTCGAAGAAGGAAGTGGAACCAGAGACACATTGCTCACGTACATGGTAGTATAACAAAATAAAATGCAGCATTCTGCTTGCTTTCTTCTTCGCCTCCTTATCGCAAGAAGCCATGTTACGTCAGCTAGATAACTGATAAATCGGCATTAAACCTTGATGTCACAACGCAACCTTGTACCAAAGTAGTCGATCCAATTTCCTCCAATTTCTTACCAAATATTTGAGATCCATTATTTCTCACCATTACACAACAGATATTTCGGACATAGTGATCTCGCTACAAGCCTCACATAAATTCGACAGGAGATTCCTCTTCCATCCCGGTCCCCCATTACGCTGTGTTCTCATATGCTTCTCGACTCCCCGCTTCTATTCTTGCCCTTATCTTTCATGCCAACTCCGGCATCCTCCCAACTACTCTTGCTTCCTGCCTCTTAATCTTATGCGCCTTTTCGCTGTTTATTTGTCTCGCGCCCCCACGCCTTCTGCATGCAATAAGAAGTGCGTTACACAGCTTTGAGACTGGTCTCACGCTGGAGCGGGGCAGCGCATCGCTCAAGTCAAGGTTTCGGTACTGTAGTGACACGAAGTTTTGGTTCGGGAGCCGCTTGGTGTTGCCGACGAGGTTTGGCGGCTGCCATCTGGTTAGGAGGTAACACCATGAAAAGCGCTCAGGGATATTGGTGCAGTCTTGTTTGGATTGGAGGGACTGTGAAAGCATGAAGGGCGTGGGTTCTGCCTCTGTCTCTGCGAATGTAAACTTATCTACGGAGAAGGGTGAACGTCAGGCAAAGGTGGATGCGTTCTTGAATTTCATACAAGCAAAATCGATTAGGTTTATCCCTAAAGATGGTACCAAACGTAACTTTACCAAAGAAGATATCACTGTACTTCGCTCTTACATAGACAGAAACTTGAAGCAACAATCCTGTGAAGATGAGGTGTTGAGTTCGGTTGAGTACTGCCAACCACAGATGCAGCTACACAGTGTGCTTCTCGATGCCGGTTTGGATCAGCTCGAAACAAAGCGGTTTGCTATAATCGGGCATTCGAATCAGGGCACTGCATTGTGCTCTGAGAACACTCTACGCCAAAGAAATCGTACACGAAATTTGAACCGGCAGTTAATAAGAACGCTTCGCAAAGATCTTGGCAGTGTCCTCTGTAGCAAAGTAAATACCGTTCCCTCTATATTTTTACCCAATAATCTAGGAAACATTCATTGGGGCTAGATCATGTCCTTGCCGTCTTTCACTACTGAATCCATCCCTGAAGCACAACTTTTCTTTGAGGAGCGCCTCGGATGGAAAGCTCCAGAGGGCTTCTTGCGACTGCGAAGGAATATCTTCAATTTCTCTTTCCACAACTGCAATGGAAGATCAACAAAAAGAACCACGCCCTGGACATTCTGAGGCTCAAGAAGCAAACGGATGGTTATAGTTGCGGGTTTTACCTTTTAGCTTCAGCTCAGACTTTAACGATGAGAGAGGGTAATGATTATCGGACTATTCAATCAGCATCTGTTGTAGAGAGTTACCCTCAACAATGTGTTGAATCACACTTATCTCTTACTGTTATGGCTTATGCGGAAACGAAACATCGCAATCTCTCTGATATTAACGTTATTAGATACATGAAAGAAACGGCGGTGGCAAGGCGTATTGAACGATCTGCCCACAATGAATCGCATCCCTTCGCTTACAACAAGTTGACTACACGCAAGAGAACCTCAGAACCTTCGGCACTAGTTGAAGACGATCTTTCTCCAGGTGAGATAGAAGAAGTATCTAGCAGTGCCAGCAGTATCTCATTAATGCGGAGGAACACGCAGACTGTCGAAAAAAATCAATCTCACTTGCGAATTTGTAGTAGAACGTGCCGCGCTCGACCGGCTTCGGGTAGCGGGAGCTGCGACACGTCGTACTGTAGTTCGAAGCGTGCGAGACGCGACGAGTGCCGTGCAGACGTGTAGTAAGAACCACGAAACAAGACAGAAGGGAGTTCGGTAGCTGGTTGGTAGAGGTTTTGGTAGAGCGGTGTGGGTTCGACACAACGGTGCCACGAAAGGCAGATCGACGTCCTCGACGTGGTAACTCGACGCCGTGCAGAGGCCACGTCGTCACGGAGGACGAATC